ATGTTGATCAGCATGTGTAATTGTGCACCTGGGTATTTTCGTCTGGATATTTTTAGTATATTTTTTGTATTTTCAGAGTTATTGCCCTTGACTTAGTAAAATTTTGCAATTTTCAACTTGTGTCGCACGTAACTCAAAAAGTATTTGACCTAGAGTCATGTAACTTTACAGGAATATTGATCAGCATGTGCAGTTGTGCACCAGGTATTTTCGTCTGGATTTATTTAGTATTTTTAGAGTTATTGCCCTTCACTTAGAAAATTTTTGCAATTTTCAGCTTGTCTCGCAAGTTTCTCAAAAAGGATTTGACATAGTCATTAAACCTTATGGGCAGGTAACGCTCAGCATATTTAGATTTGCATCTGGGGTTTAGCTTGTGGATTTATCCAGTATTTGTAGAGTTATTTCCCTTGACTTAGTAAAAAGATTGACAGAACAGTGGCGCGGTGGGGGCACCCGTGTCCTATGGACACATTTCTAGTTTTTGTTTTTTTCACCAATCAAAACTGTTATAAAGAAAGCATGTTATATCATGAATGTTAAGTGCCAGTTACAGTCAGATTGTTAAGTCATAGTCTTCCTTTGTAAAGGATTTTTATGAAGAATTTAGTGCATAATGCTAAGACCAATATTTACAAATGGGCATAATTAAGCATAAGTGACATCTTCACCTTATTAAGTTAAATTAACTGACCTTTTTTGTTTTAAGGGAACAATTTTAACCAAAATTTTGCTTTTATCATTTTCTCTTATGCATTTCATATACTCTAGATTATTCTGCTTGAGTAGTTTCTATTATTGAGTGCATATATGAAATATAACCCATATATATAATACATAAGCATGAAGTTAATCTGCATAGCTAAAACCAGTATATAATGGATGTTCAGGGATCTTTAGGTGGCATATCATAACATTTTGACTCTGTTTGTTGTCATTGTAAATTTTCTTTAGAGAAATGCAGCTTCACTTTCATTTATTACATGCATCTTTTTTATGCCACCGCAGCATCTGCGATGCGGTGGCATATAGCGATTCACCTGTGTGTGTGTTTGTTTGTGTGTGTGTGTGTTATATAGATTATATAGTGAACTTAAAAAATCTTCTTGTGAAAAACCACTTGTCCAATTTCAACCAAACTTGGCAGGATTGATCCTTGGGTGAAGGGCTTCCAAAGTTGTTCAAAGAATTTCATTCCATGCAGAAATCTGGTTGCCATGGCAACCAAAAGGAATTATAAGAATAAATTTAAAAAATCTTCTTGTAAAGACCCAAAAGGCCTAGAGCTTAGATATTTTGCATAAGGCATTGTCTGGTAGACCTCTACCGAGATTGTTCAAATTATAACCCTGGGGTCAAAATCGGCCCCGCCCCGGGGGTCATTGATTTTCACTATATGTACATATAGTAAAAACTTAAAATACCTTCTTGTAAAGACCCAAAAGGCCTAGAGCTTAGATATTTTGCATAAGGCATTGTCTGGTAGAGGTCTACCAAGATTAATCAAATTTTAACCCTGGGGTCAAAATCGGCCCCGCCCCGGGGGTCATTGATTTTCACTATATGTACATGTAGTAAAAACTTAAAATAACTTCTTGTAAAGACCCAAAAGGCCTAGAGCTTAGATATTTTGCATAAGGCATTGTCTGATAGACCCTTACCAAGATTGTTCAAATTATAGCCCTGGGGTCAAAATCGGCCCCGCCCCGGGGGTCATTGATTTTCACTATATGTACATATAGTAAAAACTTAAAATACCTTCTTGTAAAGACCCAAAAGGCTGTGAGCTTAGATATTTTGCATAAGGCATTGTCTGGTAGACCTCTACTCAGATTGTTCAAATTATAGCCCTGGGGTCAAAATCGGCCCTGCCCCGGGGGTCATTGGTTTTCCTTATATGTATATAGTAAAAACTTTATAGTAAAATAATTTCTTCTAGCAAATGCTAGAGGTTAGATATTTTGCATGAAACATTGTGAAGTGAACTTCTAGCAAGATTGTTCAAATTATAGCCCTGGGGTCAAAATTGCCCCTGCCCCGGGGTCATTGATTTTCAATATATACATATAGTAAAAAATAAAAAAATCTTATTGTCTGAAGGTACAAGGCTTAGAGCTTGAATATTTGTTAAATGATATCATCTATAGGTACTCTACCAAAGTTGTTCAAATTTTGCCTCAGATTGTGTCAAAATAAGACCCGCCCCATGGGCCATAGGTTTTCCTTATATGTATATATAGTAAAAACTTAAAAAAACATCTTCTCTAAATTTACAAAGGCTAGAGTTAAGATATTTTGCATGAAACATTATGTAGTGAACCTGTAGCAAGATTGTACACATTATAGCCCTGGGGTCAAAATTGGCCCCACCCCAGGAGTCATTGATTTTCACTATGTACATATAGTAAAAAAAAAAAGAAATATTTTTGTCTGAAGGTACAAGGCATAGAGCTTTGATGTTTGCTCTATAATATATTCTATGGGTTCTCTACTAAAGTTGTTTTAATTATGCCCCTAGTGTTAAAATTGGCCCTGCCCAGGGGCAGTGATTCTCATTATGTTCACATAGTAAAAACAGAAAATAAAACAAATCTTTTCTGAATAGGAGAGAGCTACAGCTTAGATATTTGACTTGAAATGTTGTTTGGTGGACCTGTATCAAGATTGTTTTGAATTAAACCCTTGGGTCCAAAATTTTGCCTTGCCCAAGGGGACAGTGACCTACTTTCTTGTCCTTTGATGTACAGCAATGAAATTTTGACCATGTGCACAGTTTTAGTTGTAAAATTGAACTTTGATATCAGGTGAACTAGATTTTGATGATGTGACCTACTTTCTTGTCCTTTGATGTACAGCTATGAAATTTGAACCATGTGTACAGATTAAGATGTTAAGTGAACTTTGATTTCAGCTGACCTAGATTTTGACAAAGTGTCTTACTATGTTGTCCTTTGATGTGGTCATGAAATTTAGGCTGTGTGAAATATGACCTTCAACACCAAATTCACTAGACTCAAGTGCATTGATATATTCCTACTCTGATCTTTTATTGAGTTAACAACAGATTTAACTAATCTGATAATAAGAATTAGATAGGTCAGGGATCTATGCATTATGACAATCTTCAAAATTGTATAGAAACAAAGAAAATCTGTTCCTACACTTCTATTTAGTGTTGTATTAATGCGGTGGCATAGCATTTTTCTCAAATGCAATCTTGTTTCAGTACTATGATTTCTTGTTTTATTTTGAACATCACCAAGGCCAAAATCGTGATAATGTCATTGAATTTTTTCTTTAAAAGACTTAATTTTTTTCTGTGCTCCCATGCAAAATTGCTGGAAAAGAGTCCTTTAAATTGACATTTTAGTTAACACTAATATATATTTTTAAAAAACTGTATTTAAATGTATTAATTTTCACCTTTGTAAAGTATTGTAATATGAATCACCCACCCAAAAACTTGTGTCTGAAATTGTAAGCAAACAATAAATTTTTGCTTTTCACTGGTGACCTCTTTTGATGTTAAGTATATCATATAACATGTGTTTGAAGTCAGAACTGAGAAATATTTGTACATTATTGTTGAATTATGAGATGTATTTTTGTAAAAATTTGATATCTTCAGCCATCCATACTAATATTTTGTGAATATGTTAAGATACATTTTATACATTATCTAACTTTTTTAGTTCTGTAATTCCCCCCCCCCCATCCCCATATATCTCCACCACATAACATTGAGGGGACTATTCTGGAATCACTTTGTCCCATCTTCTTGCGCTGACTCGAAGTCAACCTCAAAAGTCAAATTTCAGACAGATTTGTGTATGCTCAATAAATTTGATACTTTTTGCAGGACTTTCTGTTGACTTAGCTCAAATGTTCATTTTAAAAATGATGATTAAAGGACCTATGTAAGATCTTGTGTCATAGTACAGATGGTGGGGGTATTTGTCACTCCTGTTGCAGCTCTAGTTGTTTGTGCCATTTATGGCGCAGTTTTAGCCTTATTTTCATGCTGATATTTTTGAAAACCTTTCACCTTTAGTGGCAATTTATTTAACATTAAGTAACATTAATTTTTAGCTCACCTGAGCTAGTTCAGGGTGAGCTTTTAGGATCATTGAATGTCTGTCGCCCGGCGTCCGTCCACACTTGTTGGTTAACACTCTAGCGGTCTCTTTTTTGCCTCAATCATCATCAAACTTGGTCAAGATGCTTATCTAGGTAAAAGCTCAGATGAGTTATAACATGGGTAATCTTTGATGAAAAACTAGGTCACAGGAGCTAAAAATAGAACAACCTTGTTAACACTCTTGTGGTCACATTTTTGACTGAATTATCATGAAACTTGGTCAGGATGCTTGTCTAGGTAATTGCTTGGATGTGTTCGAACAAAGGTCATTTCGGATGAAAAACTAGATCACAGGAGCTAAAAATAGAAAAATCTAGTTAACACTCTAGTGGCTACTGTTTTGATTTAAGTATCCTGGAAATTGGTCTGAAAGTTTGTTTTGATGATTTCTAGGTCAAGTTCGATGATGGGTCACCTGGGGTTAAAAACAAGGTCACACTGCTCAAATATGGATAATCCTTGTTAACACTCTAGTGGTCACATTTTTGACTCACCTGTCATGAAACTTGGTCAGAATGCTTGTCTAGGAAATTGTTAGGATGAGTTTGATGGGTCAGGTGAGGGATCTAAGGCCATCTTGGCCCTCTTGTTTGATAAAAGTGTGATGACTGAAACGTTTGGGCTGACTTAAAGTGATTAAACTAGTTGTAGATGGTCATTTGTTTTACGTTCACCATACCGGCTAAATTTGAGAACACATTATTGCATTGATTTTATCAATATTTATTGTCTAAACTTTTAAAGTGAATCTTATTGGTATAGACAGATTTCTGATCCTTGAAAGTCAATTAACTATAAATATGATGTATAATTATAGCAGTTTTTTGTCAGTATTTTGAGGTTATAAGTATATATGTTACAGGGTTAGACAAAATGACAGAGCCTTCAGCGCCAGATGATGCTCATAAAGAACCGATGCAGGAGCTTGCCACATCTGCTGGTACAATGAGTATACAGCCTAAAAATGAGATAGAAGATCCTATGGCTCCTTCAGTTTCAGACAAAGATGGCCAGGCCCAGCAGGCAAAAATGCAGAAATCTAAAAGTGTGGTATGCTAATAAAATAATCCTATATTAAACCATGGGAAGCCACTGATTGATAAATTTAAACGTTCACATTTCATTTTTGTGATCAATTCTGTTTAAGTGATTAATTTAAATCCTATACAGTTAAAACCTTCCAAAAAATGAATATGTTTACATGTTCTTTAGTAAAAAGCAATGTTCTCATACTGTTGCCTGTGGTTATATCTTAATGTATATATACTAGGAGACTCCACCTGCTACCCCAACTACACCAAATAGTGAAACTGCAAGAGCACCCTTCAAGCGAGCTGGATCCACATCTAGTGCTGGCGGTGGCTGGGTTGCCACACCTGATTGGGTATGAGAACAAATATTTCTGAGTTATTTTACTGTAATTCCTTTATTAGATAACAACATATAGAGGATATTTGTTTGTTTTGCTTGTAAGATTGAAATATAATTTCACTGAGTGAACACCAGATGCCATATTTTCACGAGTGGCGTAGCCACGAGTGAAAATATAATAGCTGGTGTTCACAAATGAAATATATTTCAATCTTATATGTAAAACAAATAAATTTTCTTTTTATTTCATGCTTTTTAAGTAATTTTAAGTATTTTTTACTGATTTTGCCGCGTAACGTCGCGCATTCTCCTTTGTGACGTCATCACATCGTGACGTCACATCATCAATTTTGAAATGTAGTTCTGTTAGATTTCTCAAATTTTGTTACATTTTTAATATGATGTATGGTGACATCGACTTTCTTTTCCTAAAGAAGCAAAATTTACGCATGACAGCATTTATTTCTGCCTGTTATTCCATTTAGTTATGATTTTCTTTTCATCCGCATTCAGATGTAGTCCGGCTACAGTGAAAATTATATTTTATAAATTTCACTAGTGGTTTATCAGAATATAATCATCTGATATATTACATTAAAACACTGGAAAGCATGAAATAAACTTTTATAAACAGGTGTTTTGATTTTGTTACAAATGTTGATTAAAGAATTATAAACATGAAGATCTTTCTTTTTAATCTTTTCATACAAAAGCTTGATATTCTAATTGAAATTCTATTCTAATATTTCAGAATTTACAAAATTCACTCTTTTCAAGAATTGTTTGAATATTACCACTTAATAGTCTTTATAATTTATGTTTAAATTTTAATCCATAGGTACACTCTTGGAAGCATAAGTTACCTTTACAGACAATTATGAGAATGTTACAGGTGCTTGTTCCACAAGTTGAGAAAATATGTATTGACAAGTAGGTTTATATACTTTGTTTTTATTATATATAGAGGATATTTGTTTAGTTCAGTGTAAGATCGGAATGTATTTCACCGAGTGAGCACCAAAACGTATATGAAATATGACCTTTTGGTGTTCACAAGGTGAAATATATTTTGATCTTACACTAAACTAAACAAATTTTCTTTTTATTATATGCAAAGAAACGTTTTAAAAAGACATTAAACCTAATACTGAATGAAAAGCGCACTAAATAATAATACATCGTGACGTCATTTACGACGTCACGTCATTAAGTTGGTACCCAGTTCTGTGCACGCTGATATTTCAGTGAAACAACGTAAGGGGCTTAAATTCAAAACAGTGAAATTATCAAAGTGGTAATTTCACTGTTTCAAACAGTGAAGTTACCAGTTTTTATATCGCTGATATATTTCTATAAACCACCGAAAAGCATGTAATAAACAGGGTTTAATTGGAAATTGAAATAAGACATATTTGTTCTCATATGTCATGTAATTCTTTTGGTCATATATAGTCACATACATAAATTAAAGCCAATAATGAGATTTTTAATGTTACAGTAGGAAAGAATTATGATACTGTGTGGCTAATTCTAAGAAAGCTCTATAGTAGGATAGCCAGTAAGAATTTTGGTAATTAAAAAAGTTCAATACTGATATTGAATGAGAGTGCTGTAATTTATTATTGCGTCTTGTTTTGCATGCGATCTTTGGCGCTACATTATGACGTCACGTAAACAACTCTTTAAACGTCTGTACAGCGTTAATAACTGAATTTAAGATATTGATGTTCGGATTTATTTTCTTAGTTAGACCATTTTCTATCATTCTAGATAGGTTTCAAAACATATTTAAATAAAAAAAGTTTCGTATTTATCAGATTTTTCAAACAAAATGGCAAAAGAAGTCCCTTAAAATAACTCCGCCCACTTTCATATTTATATTTCATGTTTATTTTTAAAAAATATGAAATATATTTGACTGATATAGCACCATATTTCATGGGTAAAATTCAATAATGAACACTTCTACACATTTTGTATGAAATTCTTCTCAAATTTGTATGAAATTCTTCTCAAATTTGTATGAAATTCTTCTCAAAATCTTTGATATGAAGGTATTGAACTTTTAAAATCATACTGAATGTGTTTAGTGGAATTTAATGAGAGTAATTACCATACCATTACAGGGGACTGACAGATGAGAGTGAGATATTGAAATTCCTGCAGCATGGTACTCTAGTTGGCCTATTACCAGTACCACACCCTATATTGATCAGGAAATACCAGGCAAATAGTGGAACCACTATGTGGTTCAGGACATACTTATGGGGAGTTATATACCTTAGGTAAACAATCACATGTACAAAATTTGATTTTTTAGTGTGTTTATTTGAAGGAATTCTGGGCTATCCAATTAACCTTGGCAATGATGTAGGTTTTACACTTTGTCAAAGGTTTGACTGCAACTTCATGTCACATTAACCACTGGGGATCCACTTAGAACTTTTTCTGTATGTCTTTCAGAACTTATTATATGTTCCTTCACGATAATAATTGTAGGTTATTTTCTAAGAACATCAATCTTAAGTCCATCCGTCCGTCCGAATTTCGTTTCCGGAGTAGTTCTCTGCAACTAATGGCTGGAATTCAACGAAACTTTATGGGAATCATCAATATCAAGAGGAGATGCGCATCTGACCGTCCGTTCGTCCGTCTGTCCATCCGTCAGTCCGTCCGAATTTCGTTTCCAAAGTAGTTCTCTGCAACTATTGGCTGGAATTCAACAAAACTTTATGGGAATCATCAATATCAAGAGGAGATGCGCATATCGTCGGCTTGTTCCGGTCAGACACTTTAACTCAGAGTTATGGCCCTTGATTAGTTATGCAGTATGCATATGGAGTAAAAATCGTTTATGGGAAGCTTCAATACCAAGAGGAGATGCGCATGTCGTCGGCTTGTTCGGGTCAGACACTTTAACTCAGAGTTATGACCCTTGATTAGTTATGCATTATGCATATGGAGTAAAAATCATTTCCGGAGTAGTTCTCTGCAACTACTGGCTGGAATTCAACGAAACTTTATGGGAATCATCAATATCAAGAGGAGATGCGCATATCGTCGGCTTGTTCCGGTCAGACCCTTTAACTCAGAGTTATGGCCCTTGATTAGTTATGTAGTATGCATATAGAGTAAAAATCGTTTCCGCACTACTTCTCTGCAACTTCTGGCTGGAATTCAACAAAACTTTATGGGAACCTTCAATACCAAGAGGAGATGCGCATATCATCGGCTTGTTCCGGTCAGACACTTTAACTCAGAGTTATGGCCCTTGATTAGTTATGCAGTATCCATATAGAAAAAATATTTGTTTCCTCGCTACTTCTCTGCTACCACCGGCTGGAATTCAATGAAACTTTATGGGATACTAAGAGGAGATGTGCATATAGTCGCCTTGTTCCGGTCAGATACTTATAACTCAATTTTATGGCTCTTGATTAGTTATGTAGTATGCATACATCTCATTGGCATTTCCAGATTTTACTATTTAATACAAAGTTATGGCTCTGTTATTTCCCTGAATATTTATCAAGTTCAAAGAATATTACTGTTTATGCCATGATTAATATATAAATAAAGCCTTATGTCTTCAGTTGTTGTGTTAATAATAACCAGTACTCGGCGGGGGATATAAATTCAACGAATTTGCTTGTTTGTTATTATAATACTTATCCTGTCTTGTTTCATTTCAGAAATGTGGATCCTCCCATTTGGTATGACACAAATGTGAAATTGTTTGAGATTCAAAGGGTATAGTAGATGCAAGAAGATCACAAGGGATGGGATCTCCAGTAACACAATCTCATGGAATCCAATTACTAGTTGTAATACACAAAACAAAGTGTTCTGTTAGTTCTATGTAACTATTACATAGCAACCTGTGTAAAGGGAAATTTTACATATTTGAATTAAATAAGAAGCCATTTTTATTTCATTTGTTGGTGATTAATTTTAGGTCACTTGAGTAGGTTTACTTTCATGTTAAGAAAATATTAAGAGTTAATCAAGATATAGATTTGGGTTTAATGTAGTCTTTAGCACCTAGAGCCTGTTCATTTGTTTCAGAATTGACATTTGATGTTAACAATTGTTGTTTTCAGTCCATTTTGATAACATCAGAATGTCATGTTTAACACACTTTACCATCACATTAAAATTTTCCTGTTGCATTCTTCCTTATTGGGTTATTTTTTATCTTTTACCTTTTTTTCTTTCTTTTTTTCTTTTTTTTGTGTTTTTTTTTGGGGGGGGGGGGGGGTTCTTTTTCAATGATAATTGAAACAGGTAGTTAAGTTAGAATATGAAAGAAATGTTTTGTTGTTAAATTATGCATAAGATCTGATAAACTCATAATCTCACAAAGATTTTACCTTCAGATACTTTACAAGCATGTCATAAAATTTACAAAATGTGTGTCATAATGGTTTTTGTTAATTGTTGTATTTTAACTATATAGACTTAACACTGTCTGAAACTTTGTATATCAATTATGTATACAAAATAATTTAATTTCTTCAGAATAAAAGATAAAGTAATCTGAACTTCTGAAAATTTCACATACATATGACATCTTTACACAGGATGTTTTACTTATATAATTACATGTTGTCTGTGGTTTTTCATTTAACTGTAGGTTTCAGTTTTTCTTAAATGGCTGAAAGTATGTGTAACTTCTTGTCTTTCATTTGTTTTTGTTTTCTGAATCTTTTGTTATTTTTCTTTAAGAGAGATTGATCCATATTGATGTTTTTACTAGATACATTTGTATATTTTCCTTGTCTCTTTAAGGTTTATTCTATATTGTAGTTTGTTTGGGTAATTTACTAGTTATGTTAATTGTAATAAATCATGTTTAGTTAATAATGAGAATGAATTTCTTAGGATAATATGAGCACAAGAACTTAGCTTTTCAGATTATAAATTTTATCATAGAGCATTTGATATAAATATATGATCTTTTATTGATAAACTGTTGTGTTTGGTTATACAAGCTTGTCTTTGGTAGTGGTTTAGTTATAAAAAAAGGTTAATGTTAGATTCAGAAATAAGGAAAATGGCAAATCAGGTCATCACCGACTTGTTTCCACTCTGCCTAGTGCATACTGGGAAAAACTTGTTTGTAAATTATATTTTGTTTGTTTACATGAAACATGTCAAATTTTTGGTAACATTTTAAAAG